ACGGTTTCTAAAAGGATTAGGGAACAGGTATTGAATGCCTCTCCCCTTTCCCTTGGTGTTCGTCATTTTGTTGAATTACTGGAATATGTTGGTTCCCCTCACTCCCTATGTATAGCTACCCCCATCCTCTGTCATCCCTTTTCTGATCTAATATTACTCAGTTTTTCAATGTAAGTATTTCTAATAAAAAGTAAAGAGTTGACTCATGGGTAAAAGTACAGGTGAAATTTTTAAGTAGTTCAAATGAAAATATTTGTACCTCTGAGGATATAGAAATATTTACTGTTATCTAAATCTTTTAAGTTAGGTTAGTTATTTGATTCTCTTGGATTCCTGCATTTGGGACAGTACACAGCAAGACTGGATAGCAAGGGCTCTGTTCTTCCAAATAGCTCTATGTTAAAAATTTTACCCAAATTTGGTTCCCAAGTTTAATTAGTGAGTTCAGGTAGCAAAGTACACCTCTACTTTAAAAAGCAATTAAAATATTAGCATTTAAGTTAAATTCTGAGATTCTGAGAGCTACTGGAAACACTCAGAGAAGTATAACCTCTAAAGAAGCCTATATATTCTCTATATCATTATATAAGTTGAAAAACTAAGAAGAAAATAAGGAAATAATCACTCTCTATACCCTACCAAAGTGAAGCTTTTCTATTTAGATCCTTAGCATTCTTTTTTTAAATTTTTCCCCCCATACATTTTTTTTTGAGAGATTTTTGCTATAGTGCACGTGAGTTCAACAGAAAGAGACAGAGAGATAGAAAGCGAGAAATCACCCCCCGGGGGGGGATGGCCACGCTGCACCCCCTTCTCCTCCATTCTCTTCTCTGGATCTTGGGCATGCATGCACACACGCCCGGCGTGAGTTTAAGCCACCAGGTCTGGGACTTGAACCGCAGTCGGCTACATGGGAGTTCAGTGACATAGCCATTACGCTAACTGCTGGTCCCAATCCTTAGCATTCTTCATGGGCCAGACTGTTGGGATCTTTCGTAGTGAAATAACATTGGTCTTTATTAGTCTACTGAGAAAGATACCAAACACAAAACAGTATATCTTTGCCAAAATAATTGTAAATTAGAATATAATTTCAATCATTAGGTGCAAAAAAGGTTGCACTTTTTCCTCCTGAAATTGATTTTTGGCTGATAGGTAAAAACTAATCTAAACTGGTAATGGTGGTGAATATATATAACTCAATTAATTAAAAAATAACTCAAATGTTAAATGCCAGTATACTAATCATAGTTAGAATACATAGATTTTAGTCTTTTCTGCATCAGCTAACCATAACCTTGGGAAGGTCACATCCCTGAATCTTAGTTTCTTCAACTCTAAAATAAGTGTTAGCTTCCATGATAATTAGCATTCATCTCAGCTCTAAAATACTCCTTAGTTATAATTTTTAAATATTTTACCTTTGTTTTATTTAAATACACTTTTAAAGATAATTATAAATGCAACATACATTTGTTGTAGATTTTTAAATTATAGACAGACATAGATAATAAAAACTACCCATAAGCTTACCCTTCAGAGATAACTGCTAACCCAATGAAGAAAATATATGTGGTGTTTTGTAAACTTTCATTGGACATATTTTAAACATCTTGATGTGGCATTTAATTTTATTTTTAGTGGGTAGGGGGAGAAAGCAGGCATTTCAGAATCACTCAGGAGTTCCTGAGCAAATTATCTCGGCCCTTTCTGGCCCTTGGGAAATGTGGCTCCTCCAATTAAGAATCACTATGGACAGAGCCACTGTTGTAACTGTTACTTAGCTTAGGAGCACCAGGACAGAATTAAGCCTATAAGCACTGCCCCTACAAAACCACTTTTAATGGCTCCTGAGTTGGAATGTGCCATATTTATTAAGCAGTTAATTTCTATGGATAACAGGATATTTTCATTATTGTAAACATAGTAGGTATTGTGGCATGACCTTTCCCCTTTGGGGGTGATTTCTTGCTTTCTGTCTCTCGGTCTCTCTGGCAAATACAAGCGCCCTATAACAAAAAAAGTCTCTTTAAATAAATTAAATAAATAAGTAAAAAAAGGAAGATGAGCTTAAGTTAGGAAATTTGGCTACTCACCAGCATCTTTGATCCAATTATCATAAAGGCGCACAGTCCTCGATGTAAGATCACTGAAGGCCATTTTCCACAGGATTTTCTGGCTCTGATAATGGGCTCTTCACTAAAACAAAACAGAGATAACTTTATGATCTATAAATTCTAGTAAAGTCAAGTTGCTAGTAATACAATATTAAAAATGCTACAAATGTAATAGGAATAACTGGCAAAACAACAAACTTCCACTGAGGGTACATCAGTGAACCATATTAAACTTGCTGTTGCAAACATTTCAGATTTTCCATCCTTCTAGGGATTCTGCTAATTTCATGGAAAAGGCTAACATGTTATGTACAAGATATGGGGGGGTCTCCAAAAGGAAACAGAAAATGTGTATTATGAAAAAAACTACTCCTGAACTACAAAATATTTTTGCACTAAAATAGACTTGTACTTTAATTCCACTTTCCCATGCATTTTTTGAAGTACACTTGTATAAAAGAATTAACAACTTTTTCTCCTTTTTCCCATTTTTATTCATTTACTTTTCATTATTTTAAATCCTTGAAGGATACAGCATCACATGGATGGCCTTAGCAGGAAGGTTGCTTCAGAATTTGGCGCAAATCATGCCACTGTTTCCGTGGTCAAAGGTAACCTTTCCCCAGATTATTCTGGTTTTTTGGGTTGCCACCAAAAGTGACTGTGTTGTGTTTGGTTTTGTACACTAAGAACACTTCTTACCTAAATAGAATTCTGTTTCACCTCGTGCATAAACCCCTTCAATTTTAAGAAGAGCTGTGTGCTCCCTTTGGTTCCTGAGACCCTGCTTATAGCCAGCAAAAATGGCCTTGGACCACAGCCTTCCAGACATAGCTGCCTTTTAAAAGTTCTGTTCCCAGTAGGCCTCCACAGGTTCCAAGATGGCAGAAACAAAAGGAGTAACAATTTTAAGACCCTTCATTCTCGCATCTCGCTTTTATTCTTATCCAGACAATGTGAATTAGAAACAGACTACCTATTGTGGCAACGTGGAAGTGAAAACCCAGGAGAAGACAGTCAAGAAGATACATAAACTTTCATGAAATACTCTGGTCCTAAACTTAGACCTGATTTTCATACCTAATAAGGTCTTCCACATGCAAATTTTGCCAGTTAAAGAAGCACAGAGACAGAAAGAGGAAGAGCCCAATAGAAGCTTCTCCTTTATCTGGACAGAGACAGGACAATTGGAAAAAGAAGTCATCTCAAAAAGATCAGTGAGGGGAAACTAGCCTGATTATAATAGAAAGATACTATTAATCTTCAGTAATTAAAACAGTGTGCCACTGGCACATGAAGAGACAAATTAATAGAATAGAATAGAACATTCTGAAACATACCAAATACAGTTGGGAAATGAAAAGCGTATTTCAGTAATTCTAAATTGTATACTTTCCCACATTTTACATCTCTGAAATCAGAGTATACCTTACAAATAGATGACGTATTATAAAATTAACGACATGCTTGATTCAAAGCCTTATTTTTATTTTTTATTTTTTGGAGAGGTTTTTGCTATAGGGGCACGTGTGCTCGCCAGAAAGACAGAGAGAGACAGAGAGATAGAAAGCAAGAAATCACCCCCCAGGGGGGGATGGCCATGCAGCAATCCCTTCTCCTCCATTCTCCTCTCGGGATTCTGGGCACGCACACGCGCCTGGCATGAGTTTAAGCCGCCGGGTCCGGGACTCGAACTGCAGTTGACTGCATGGGAATCCAGCAACATAGCCATTACACTAACTGCTGGTCCCGATTCAAAGCCTTATTAAGGTGTGAAAACATTCTAGAGATAGATGGTGTTGATGTTTGTATAACAATGTAAATGAACCTAATACCACTAAACTTTGCATTTATAAAAAAGACTTAAATGGTAAATTTTATGCTATGTCTATTTTATTAGCACAATAAAAAAAAATCTCTAGGTTGTGGCAGGAAAATCCCAACTTTCTTCTAGCATTCTAAAATAAAGTCATTTTATTTATGCAAATACATATAATATATGTATATATGTATATTAGAGACACAGTATATGATAAAATTGGCATCTCAAATTAGTGGGCACTAAATTATCAACAATTATTCAATAAATGATATAGCTATAACCACCTGAAAAAAAGTTCAATCCACACATTATATAATAAACCAAGATAAAATCCAAATAGATCAAAGATTTACATAAGAAGGTCAGCCTGTGGCATGGTGGTTAGCACAGCTCGATCCCATATGACTGACTGTCAGTCCAAGTCCTGACCTGCTGCTTGAGAATCATGCAGGGTGCACATACATGTGTGCCCAAAATCCCAAGAGGAGGGAGAAACTGAGTAGAAAGGATTGCAGTGTGGCCATTCTCCACTGGGCAATGGGGAGAGGCTGCTTTTTTACTTTCCTTCTCTATGTCTGTCTCTCTCCGGCAAGGGTGTGAGCCTTCTGGCAAAATTAAAAAAATAAAAATGACAAAAAGACACAAAGTTTAAATTTAAAGAAAAAACAGATCTAGATGATGACATGGAGAGAGTTTTTATAACATTGGAGTGGAAAAGTTCTAAATATTGTTTAAAATTCAGAAGACATAGAGAAGGCTAATAAATTCAGTAATATGAAACTCAAGATGAACACGGTAAAAATCTCGATGACAAAAAGGAAAAAAAGAATGTTGAATTCATATCACAGAGTAGGGGTATTCTCTCTAACATATAAAAAGTTTCTAGAAATTGAAATTTTTTTCCATGCCTTGGAAGTCATGGAAAAAATAGGCGAAGTTTACAAAATAGGAAATACAAATGTCTCTCTCTCTCTCTCTTTTTTTTTTTTATAGACCACAGATTAGTTTATTTTTAACACCCATCATGCCATGAATCCACAGGGAATAGGTTCCAGTAGCTCAGGCTCCTTTCCATTGGTTCTCACAAAGTGTGCTTCTCTGGGTGGAGTAGGCTGGCGCTTTAGTTGAACCCAGGTACCTTTCTCTTTGGCTTCTTTCTTTTTCTGGTCATTTTCCTTCACACATTTTAGGGAGCTATCTCTGCTCTTAGAATGCTTAATATACTCAATACGCACATTAATTCTCTTGGCAAGAATCTTGCCCTTAACTTGTTTGTTCACAACAATGCCAACAGCATGCTGGGTAACATTGTAGACTCTTCTAGTTTTGCCATGATAACATCTGTGGGGCATTCCTTTTTGAACCGGACCCATTCCCTTAATGTCTACAATATCACCTTTCTTGCAGATTCACATATATGTTGCCAAAGGAACCCCTCCACTAAAAGGCCTAGAGAACATATATCAGGTGCCTCTCCTCTGTCCCTTTGTGTTTGTAATTTTGGTTAATTACTGGAAGATGGCAGTTCCAGCCAAAAGGAATCACAAATGTCTCTTAAGCATATAAAAAGTTGCTTAACTTTCAATCACAGCAAGCAATATACAATATTTTAAAAATATATATTGAATGTGCCAAGTCCAAATATTTTTTATTAGATGGACCAAAATTCAAACATGTGTTTCCTCTGTTGACCTGGGAAACTCTCCTCATTCACTGCTGGTGGTAGTGCAAATTAGTGTTACTCTGAATGATGACAATTTGGCATTACCAGTTAAAATTATAAATGTATACCATGTTTTAATCATCAGAGGGCAAGTGTGTTCACCAAAGACTTGGGGTGGGGTGAGAGGAAGGAAATCACCCCTGCAATGAGGCGTGGTCATCCTGCAATTCTTCATGGTTAAGGGAACAGGATTCATTTTCAGGTGGATTCTCAAATGTAGAGATTTTTCCTAGAAAATATGTTGGAGATAGTCTCCCTGAGGGAAAGGAGTAGGCAAATCAGCATACAGCTTTCCTAGGGCATGCCTACTCTCTACCCACAGAGTTTTATGGTCTTCCCTTTCTCTTGATGTTTGGAAGGTTCTGGGCTCCCCCATTGAGCTCTGATTTGAGAATCAGACATCAGGGACAAACCCGAAAGAAAAGAATTAGCTAGCCACAGTTCTGCACAGACACACACAAATTAAAATGAGCTACAGGAAGGTGCCATTGTACGGACAGAGCTCTGCGGTAGAACTGGGGACTGTTAAGGGAAGAACGAAAGCACCTGCCTTCCTGTGGTAAGTTATGTCTGGCCTTCAGGAGAGTTGATGTGTATGTGTGTGTGTGTGTGTGAGAGAGAGAGAGAGAGAAACTTCACCCTTGTACAAAGTATGGGAGGCCAGAAGGACAGGGCAAATCAAGCTATTCCTCAGAAATAATCATTGCTCATCAGAGAACTGAGAAGGAAAACATTCCTTCAAACAGAAGGCAGGGCAAAGGCAGAGAGCAGGACAGTGGGAAGTAAAATGGAAATGGCAGTCAATCCTGGCTCATTAGAAAGGGACAAAGGAAAGCCTTCCCTGGGTATAGGCATTATAGAGTCTTTAGGTTATGATGCTGGAAACTCAGAGCTCAGATGGATAAAATCTCTGATACTACTGTGTGAGAGAAAAAAGCTTTGAGATAAGAAACAAATTTCTGAGTAAGAATCCAAGATTGCTAGGAAAACTTCCTCTAGATATTAGTTTGTGCATTTCCTAGTATTCCTCTCCCTGTCAGCAAAATCACTGGAACTGGTTTTCCCCTCCTGCCCCACCCCCTATACTTACAAAGAAACAAAGCTTCAAAGGTCCTGAGCCTGAACCTTACAGGGAAAGATCTGGGTGCTTGGGTTTGTTCCTTCCCAATGATATCACAAGACAGAGGCTGGAGAAAGACGATCAGAAACTTTGGGTATATTATAATGTGAGGGATGACTATGAAGTAATAATGGGTTTAAAGCAGGATTTCAACAACTTGACAGAATCGGCATTTGGGGCCAGGAAATTCTTAGTTGTAGCACCTGTCCTGAACATTGCAGTGCGTTTAGAGCCAACACTGGATTCTGTCCACTAGATGCCAGGAATGTATCTTTTCCAGTTGAGACAAACAACAATGTCTCCAGAAACTGCCAAATGTCTCCAGGGAATAAAAGTGTCCTAGGTTTGAGATTCCTTGGTTTAAAGCAAATTACCATCATACTCATGTAAACAACAATAGTTTGCTTTAAAG